ATTATTATTATTATTATTATTATTATTATTATTATTATTATTATTATTATTATTATTATTATTATTATTATTATTGTAGAAAAATATTTTGGATTTTTTTAAAAACTACTTATTACATCAAAATTATGGCTGGACAAGAAAAATGACTCCACTTGGCAGATTGAAAAAGTGATGTTACTTCTTCTTCTTACTTACAAGTAATCCTTGTTTGGCTACCACAATTGTGACCAGCAACTCAGTCATTAAGCAAAATGGTCATTAAGTAAAACTGCAGCTGCTTACGATCTTACAGTACTTCAGTTTTCCTTTCTTTACACACCTGCAAAGGATTTAATTGTGACGACTGGATGTAAACTTTTCATCACTGTTGTAACTATGAATGGTCGTTAAACAAGGACTATCTGTATACAGAGAGTTATAATAAATATAGTTACCTTTTATTGAAACTGTTGAGTAAAGTTTTATATGCATGTACAGATATATGACAAGTCCTTAAATATAGCAATAGCAATAGCACTTAGATCAGAGGTGTCAAACTCAATTTCACTGAGGGCCGCATCAGCATTGCGGTTGCCTTGGGGGGGGGCTAGGTGAGTGTGGCCACAGTGGGTATGGCCTACTGGGTGGGCATGGATGGAGTGGGTGTGGCCAGCTCTACATCGTCCGCGTCAAGGGTGCCTGTGGGGGCCTGGGCAGGAGTGGGACAGATCTGAGGGTCTCTGGCAGAAAGGGGTGGGACCAGGCAAGTGCCAAGACATGGTCCACTGGAGGAACCTCACTGTTCCTCTCAGGCCATGCGAGGGGGGGCTGGATGGTGGCACGGGCTGCCCAGAGCCTTGGGCAGCAGAGGTCAAACGCCCAGCCTGGCCCTCGAGCACCCGCAGCACCAAGCCCAGCCCCACTTCCCCAAGGGAGCACCCAGCTGCACTTACCTCCTCTTCAAGGCTGCTGCTGCTGTGCTTCCTCTCCTTACCCAGGTTGCTCATGATGAGTACGAGGGCAAAATCAGAGGGAGGCCCATTCTCTCTCCATGGGAGGAGACCCAGCTTTATATCTGAAGCTTCCTTAGCAATAGGACGGGAGACCCCCAGGATAGGCCAGGAGGAGGGGGCAAGGGGATGGTGAAAGAGCAACAGGGCAGGACTAAGGCAGGACTTCCCTCAGACCCTCCCTCTCCTTCTTTCCCTCTTTCCTTTCTTCCTTCCTAAGTACAGAGTGGTGGGAAAATATTTGAGATGAGGGAGGGAGAAAAACAGGCAAGAAATGCAGCTGGGGAGGTGTCACCCTTCGTGAGGAATGAAGAAATGCACCATCGCCTGGAAGTGGCCAGCACATGGCCCTCACCTACTTCACATATCTGGCTTGGTGGACTCTGGGGGAGGGGATGCCATGAGCAGCATCAGAGTCAACATTACCTGCGCAATGCTGCCCAGCCCCCAGCCTGCCCGGTCTTGGCAGGCAGCGGGGTGCTCTCCTCACAGCGCCGAGAGGTTGAGCCGGGCAGTGCGAAGTTCACCAGCTTTGCACCTTGCTGCCTGCTGAAACTGGGCAGGCTGGGGGCTAGGCAGCATTGCACTTCTCATCAGATTCGCGCCACCCGGCCACCACAAAATTGTACATTGGCTCCCGGCCGGCCTGGGCCAGGGCCACGGCAACGGCCATTCCATCACTGTTGGCATCGCGGGCCACATGAAACCATTTTGCGGGCCGCATCCGGCCCCTGGGCCTTGTGTTTGACATGTCTGACTTAGACTTATATACCACTTCACAGTGCTTTACAGCCCTCTCTAAGTGGTTTACAGAGTCAGCATGTTGCCCCCCAACAATTTTACCCATCTCAGAAGGATGGAAGGCTGAGTCAACCTTGAGCCGGTCAGGATCGAACTCCTGGAGTGAGCAGTGAGTTAGCCTGTAGTACTGCATTCTAACCACTGCGCCACTATGGCTGTGGTGATTGTTTGGTGATCTGTGATTATTTTGCTGTTTATTTAAATGTATTTTGCTATTTAATTAATTATGAAAATGCATTTTATAAAAGCACAGAGTTTAAGCAAGAAATTTCTAGATTTTCTTTCTAAATGTTTTCTAGATTTTTTTTTTAAAAGTTGCTACTGTATATGGTTATATACATTTGTATTTTTGGTTTAGTTTCTAGAAATTTGAATGTACCAAATATTTATATTGTTCTCTGAATCAAATTTTGTTTTGCTATGATTTTTAGTTAATTTAGATTCTCAATAAAACATAAAGCTATCAATGTTCATAGGGCAATTGATTTGAAGGAATATGTCTGACAATTCCTCAATATTATACACAAAATATTCATTTGTATTCATTTGTTTCTTTGATTATACTATAAATAAAGCATTATGATACTTCTTTAAAAAATACCCTATTCTTGTGTTTTACAAAGATCTAACTAGATCTAACTTCTCAAATTCTTTCAGACTTCTGTGGTCTGAAGCAAAATGTTTTAATATAAGTGTAACATTAAGCTAGAATAAAAATTTAAAAAAAGTTTCAAGATATGAGCTAGACATTTCTCTTTTCTTTTTTAAAGGTTTATCATGTCCCTACTGGTAGCTATGAGACACAGAACCAGCATTATGGAAGAGGATTAACAAAAGAAACGATAAAAGATGGTAATCTTTGTATAAAAGCACTATATTAAACAAATGACTTTTTAAAAAGGAACAGTCAGGCTAGAGTTTGTGCTATGGACTTTGAACCATGTGTGCCTGGTAATTAAGAAAGTAGTTGTTGATAATATAACAGAATGTCAAATGAGACAAAGAAGTAGCATGTTTTTTTAACCAGAGTTGGTGCTGTTGTAAAATATAGTTGGAGACATTTTCCAGTAGTATTTATAGAAGGGATAAAGCTATTTTATGCACAAATCTCTTACTGTGAATGATGAGTAAAAAGACTGAGCATTAATATTGTGCTTTATATTGAGAACAATGTGGTATAGCACTTAAGGTGCTGGAGTTGGATTGACGAGGCCCATGTTCTAGTCATCCATTAGGCATACAAGTCATAGTTTAGGTGATTTTGCCTCAATCACTTATTCTTAGGACAAGAGTTGCAAAACATCTAAATACCAATCAGTATTGGACTAGCATGAGGCTCCAGAACCTTCTGGAAAAAGGCCTTCATTCTGTAGTATATGCTTTTTAAAGACATATGTGATTGAAGCAGCACATAAGCCTTAGTAATAAATAAATTACAGCATATCAGGAGAAAAGGTAGTTATAAATCTCTGAAGAATAAATTAGCTACCCATTCATTTATTTATCTAGATTTAGAAGCACAAATGCCAAATGACACTTTCTTTTACATAATTAAAAAGAAAGGATAACAAAAAAGAAAACTGGTGCAGCTGAACAAAGCATGTTTATCATGTTTTAAATGATAAAAAATCTGCCAGGCCTAGAGTAAAGTTAGGTTTTTAAAGACTTGTGGAAATCTTATAGGTTTGGAGCTGTGTGGAACTTGGGGGGAGGAGGGAATGCTGTTCTAGAGGGCAGGTGCTGTGGCAGAGAAGGCATGCTTCTGGGGTCCCACTAGATGACGTTGCTTGATAGAAGGTGCCCAGAATGCCTCCATTCTGTCTGATCTTCGCAATCTTTTATCTATGTTTTTTTTAAATATATATGGACTGCCAGTAAATAATGAATCCTGCAGATGGTCTGTCATTTATTGCTGTTCTAATTGATGGCAGTAAGAAAAAGTTTTTGAAACCTGTAAAATTATTTGCTCTCTTGTAGTGCTGTAACCTGAAATAAACAGAGCTGCACTTAGGCCCTATTATTTAGATACAGAGATTCTGGTTAAACAAAGAACACCCAGAAACAAATACTATGTCATATGTTTATTGAACTCATTGAACCGATGTTCACTGTCTTTGAATAAAAATGTGAAGTCCTCTAAGACTATGAACTTTTAAACAGTAAAAGTTGAATCAAATATTCCAATCAATAGATCATAATTAGAAGTGAATTTGAAGGCTTTCTTCAATTAAAAACAATCAACAAATCAACAAAAAGACAAGTAACTCTATCCAATACTGGGTTATGGAAGCAAACCATAATCTAATTATAAGAGGTCTTTGCCAAACTCAGAAAAGGGGCTGCTAATAGTTAGCAGACTGGAAAGGGCAACAATTTTTTTTGGCCACCCTCAATTTCTAGTCAGATTGACAGTATATAAATTGAGAAGTATAATACCATTTTTACCCTGCCAGGAATGGTTGCCCAACAAAAACCATCCCAAGAACAAGGTCTACAATAATTTGCATTATAAAGAAAACATTGAAAAAGAGTAGTATGCATGAGAAGATGGAATCATCTCTCCAGGAAACATTACTGTTCATTTCAGGTTTTCTGAAGACCACCTGGATGCCCCAGAGGCCGCACTATGGGCAGATAAACTGAATGGAAATTTTGGCATTAATAACACATTTTATGTTTGGAGAAAAAACATTGAATTCCAATAAAGGATTTCATCCTTTAGACAGTCACTCATGCCCTAGTTACCTCAAGATTTTCGCAGTGCACTTTATGTAAGATTGTTTTCAAATGGCTTGAAAACTTCAGCTGGGCCAGAACACAACAGTGCAGGCAATGAGGGGTATTCTTATGTGACACTTCTACTCTGTGAATTGCACTGGTTTCCTCTCTGCTTCTGGGTATGATTCAAAGTTCTCTTTATTACTTACAAAGCCCTCCATGACATAGGGCTAGCTTACCTGAGGGACTGCCTATCTCATTGTTTCTATCCAGCTTCTACAAGTCAAGTGTTGGGTCTCTTCAATAAGCAGTGTCATCTATTGGGACCCCAGAAGGGTATCTTGCAACACTTACCCCTTGGATTGAATTCTCCCTGAAATTTGCATGGCTCCACCATACTGATGTTTTAATTCAACACAGTGAATTAAAATAGTTCTGTGAGGAGGAATGAGGACAAAGTACCTTTAAACCATTGTGTGAGGTTGATGAGGACAAACAAGAAACATTTTGCAATAATTGCTGCTAAAGGAACTGCCACCAGTTAGTTTAAAACAAGGGTCTTCAAACTTGGCAACTTTAAGACTTGTGGACTTCAACTCCCAGAATTCCTCAGTCTAAAACAGGGATGTCAAACTGCTGGCCTGCAGGCCAGACGCGTCATCTGGAAGCCACGCCCATCCCATTGCCGGCAATGGCAAAACTGTCCTGATACATTGCACGGCATCACGTGACGTCACGAGTTTGACATGTCTGGTCTAAAACTTCACACTTTTCAAGCAGTGACTGAACTTTGGTTCAATGTATTCAGTAAGAACATATAATATTTACCCCAATTTTTGTTTATCTACTAAAACGACTCAACTAAAACTCAGATCACCTTGCAAGACACAAAGCTGCAAGGTTGTAGGTAATTCTAAAGAGTTCACTAATTCCTTTCACCACTGTATATAATTGAGTTGTGGAAACAGAAGTACATATGGTACCGTATACTTGGCAACTGTATGAACTTCTGATTATTTCAAACCTGTCATTTGTCCTTTCACCGTAAATTTCTGCAATTAATTTTGAAAACTAAAAATGCAAACTTAGGGCAGTAATACATATTGCTGAATTTTTGAAGTGCCAATTTAATCCTGAATTCTGTTAGATTATGATATTTGCCTGCTAATTGTTTTTGTTTCTTTTGTAGGTGTGGCTCGTTTTTTCTATAATGGATTCACTCTGAGAAAAGACGCTGTAGCTGTTAGTATTCAAAAGATTAAAGAAATCTTGCACTGGTTTGAGAGCCAGAAGCAACTTAACTTTTATGCAAGTTCTTTACTATTTGTCTATGACGGTTGGTCTCCGTGGTTAAATGATGGCTGTTTGGTTGAGAAGAACAAAGTAGCCAAGGACCAAGTGCCAAGTGATAGTACAGATAATACATTGGAATGCAACAACAATATTCATATCATCAATGCCTCAGAAATGGGGAAGGTAGAGACTTCAGATGGCAAAGATTTTTCTAAAACATATACTTTTCACAACAGGCACCAGAATCAGTTTTTGTTAAGAGACCATCTATGGAAGAGCAGTTCTTGCTTTTCACAAAAACATTTGAATGGAAATGTTATACCTCAGCTGGAAAAAGTTTTCAGCCAAATGCCCATGTCTCTTCCAGGAAATGAAGAAGTTGAAGTCCGGATGATAGATTTTGCTCATGTATTCCCTAGCGATATGCGAGATAAGGGCTACATTTATGGGCTGAAAAACTTAATTACTGTCCTTCAGAATATTTTAGATAACTAAATTTTTGCAGTGATTTTTACTGAGGGCCAAATATAATGAAAAGCAACAACATTTCTGCACTTGTGATCCTTGGTTTATATTGTTCTACATTTTCTTGTCTTTATACTTTTGGTAGAATTACCAGGTATTTTATAATGTTACTCAGGAAAATTATTCTGTAATTAGTAAAAGAAAAAGCTAATGAGATTTAACTGGTAGTTATAGGAATCTACAGTTAACAAACAAAGCCTATCTGATATTGGATATATCTTGCATTGGTTGAAATGACTTGAGTTATTTTACATACTTACATATTTTAATTGAAAAGCTGTCGTGCAGCCATAATGTTGAGCCATATCTCTCCTGGAATACTAGAAAATCATTAGAGAATACTAAAATCAAAATTTAACAGACTATTCAGGATAAGGTTGCATCCATTAAATTGAAATTTATATCGCTTTTATGAATTTACATTGTTTGCATAACTACATAATAGTTAAATGATGTCATTTGCAGTAAAATAATGTAGCAGAGAAATCTTTCATTTGACAGAAAAACTTGCATTGGAGTCTGAGCAAAAAGTTAGACGATTATATCAAAAGACCACCAAACTGGGGTCCATTAAATTAAGAGTTTACTGTATTATTCTTGAGTATTTGATATATTTTTAAAACTGGAGCTAATAATATTTTTAAGGAGTAGATATTTAAAATCTATTCTAGTGTAACTGATTTTTTTTTAGTGAGAGATAATCATGTTCTGCATTATTAAACTTGGGTAGAGGTGTTAATCTTTTCATGGCCAAATATTCTTACCATGTAATATGTAACATTCCCCTCTAAATTTATGAAATAGAAATGAGCCATCTAAAGAGAAGCTTGCGTTTTGGAGGTTCTATTAGAAAATGAATAATAAAATAGTTAATAAAAATAGTTTTAGTTATTGCAAAGGGGGTGCAGCGTGTAGTGTAATGTCTGAAGCTACTTTTTAAATAACTTCTTGGTATGAACAAATGGTATTCATTATACAGGTTTGGATTTGCAAATGGAATGATTGGATTTGCTTTGTAGAAGAAAGAGGAATATTGTAAAAAGCTCTTTTGGAGGAAAGGATAACAGAACAGTGATTTTCATTTAACTCTTTCCCCTATTTCATTCCTAAACAGTGTGGAAAGTGATGCTGGGGATTGTAGAGAAAAGGAGGAATTCATAACAATTGTCCTTACATTCATTTCCTTCAATTCAGTAGAACTTTGTGCTGATATGAATTCAATTTTTAAACTGGTAGATAGTTGACATTAAATAGCAGTAGTTTAAATTTTACATTTATATTTTATATTCCAAATGTGTTATATAAATCTCTATTAAGTAGTTTTGTTATAGGTTATAAAGAAAGCCTTAATATCAGATATTCAAAGGTAATATTAATTTAAGAGTGAAATCAAGAATTTGGTCTTCTGTCAGTAATTTAAGCCATATTGTTGAAAAATAATTGCTATGCAGAATTGTCCCAATCAGTTTTCTTGATCATTGGTAGCTTATTCTACTGTAGTTTCTCATTAACTGTTATCAGTTAATTTGGCTATATCTGTATATCTGCTGCAGCCTGGGAATGTTTCCATTGTAGGCCAGTTAAGAACATATAAGTTTACATCTTTCAGGCAATAACTTCTGTGCTTCATAGTATTTGTAGTGTAATTATTGTTTCGCTAATAGTTTAAGGTTCTGGAATAGTAAGTACTCGACATCAAATTTTCAAGTTTTGTAATTGAGTCATTATAAATATAGTTAATGTAAATTATTCTTTTTGGAAAGTAAACTGCTTTAAATTGGAAACTAGGGAGAGTTGGTTACAGTTGCCCAAGTAACCCTTCATTTTTTTATCTAATGAAAAGCCTATTCCAGTTAATTTTATTGTCTACCAGTTTTTAAACAGTTGTGAAATAAACATTTTGCAATTTTCATATGTGAACAAATCAAAAACCTTATCTAGAATAGTTTGGTTTCCTAGACCTCACTGGCTAATTCCATCACTTCCATTTGCTTGTTCATAAGAAGCCCTGTAATGTGATGTCCTTTGGATATATAAGTGTAAAACTGATCTTTATATTTCATTTTCTATTCTAATCCTTCAGTTTATTCTGTATGTTACAACTCTGTGTATAGAAGATACAGATGGAATAATTTATAGTCACGTTATGGAGGAATTGTCTCAGTTTTACCCATTTAACTGCTTGCTTCTAATTGAAATGAATTTGAGAGCCTGCATGTTAAGAGTCTGTAAAATAGCAATTATTTTGAGCTTCAGATTTAAGTCTGTAGTTAGAACAAGGAGTATTTTAGTATCTGATCTAAAGTGTGTTCAAATTAAGTTACATTTCTTTGGAAGGAAGATTTCTAAACTCCTTAGGAATAGATATAAATAACAACTAATGACAACTACTTTGTAGCTGTCCCAAACACCCCTGACATTGACAAGCTTATCCTTACCACTAATGCAGAATCTTAAATATTGCTTCCAATGAGATTAAGAAGATGCTCCCTTAAAATATATTATATGAAAAATTATGTACAAACTAATATAAGAATTTAATTCTATAATTTTTTTATAGCCGAACAGTTTCATTCTTGGTATTTTGGATAGTTTGCTTCTTGTTGCATAGATCTATTTAAAACTATGGTGTTATGAAATGTTAAAACTATTTTATCTAACTAATTTTGCAGAATTATGCAGTTGTGTATAATCATGTTTCATATGAAGGGCATATATTGAGATGGGAGTTATTTTTGTTGTACAGGAAAATGGAAATTTCTGCTTATGTTAGATACCATTCCATAATAGATTATTACATTTTAGGAAGGGACTATTTTCTGTTAATGTGCACCTAATACAAAACTTGATAAATTATATCCTTGACTTATCTGAAAATAAGTCCCCTGAAATTCGCAGAAGTCATTATACTGTTAAGCCCCCTCTGAAATAGTAGATTTAAAGTTTATATAAAAATATGTGATCTTTATCAAAGTGGAAAGGACTGCCCAAGTTTTGAGAGAAAACCCCCCCACATCAGATGTACTAGTTTAGAAAGCGAAAAGGGCACAACCACTAAGTCTTTCATGTAAACCATTTTCAAATGGTTTATATTACTCTTTTAAAAGACTGCAGCTTATATAAATAGTCATTCCTTTTTATCCAAATTATTTTTAAATTAACATTATTTGCAATAACATCCTCTACTGAGTGCCTTCTGCTTCATGTTTGGTACCATTTAAATGACATTATACAGCATCCAGGGTGACAGAATGGAATGCTTTAATTGAAAGCTTGAACATAGTAATACCCCACGATAGTTCAGGAACACTGTTGTAATATTTTATGTTCATCTTAAAACCATTTTTTTGCTGGTAAAAGTTCTATTTGTTCGATTATGAATCGTGTTTACAAATCCACAAATTAACCACATATTCAGGAACTAAAGCTCTTTGTCCTGCCAGATGTAGGGCTCAGGGGATGTTGTGTGGGTCTCTGTTTACAGTACCAGTGGAGGCAATGAGATCTGTAGCCGGAGCAATTTGGGAGTGGCACATTTGACAGAAGGGAAATTGGGATGTAGACTGACATATTTCCCCATCTTTTCTTCCCTGGATCTCCCTCATACCTGACCAGGATACTTAAAAACTAGAAACTTAATATGCAGTCACATGGAACCCTATGGCTTGTTGATGCTCAATTAGAATTAGTTGATTATAATTTTTGGTTAGAGGGATTTCCATCTTTCTGACTGTGAATAGGCCTTTAGATTTATGAAAATGAGCTGAATCTGAGCCTCCACATCATACCTGGTAAACAGTTTGAACAAGACAAGTTTGACTTGTAGATTAAAGAAAGCAAGATTGTTTTGTAATTCACACTGAATTGAATACAGTTTTTTTCCTTAAAGTGGAATTCTTGCAAATCATCTCCCTTGAGAAGCTTTATATCATTTTTTTCCTTATTTCTGTACTAATATTTCTTACTGGTGAATCATTGCATTTAGTTGTAGAATGATGGGCCATTCAACTGTGAAATGTTACTCCATGACATATCTACAAGCTACATACTGCACACTTATAATTGTGAATTATGGTTCACTGAAGAGTTTATGCACATTTAAAACTTCCATACTATGAATAGTCATATTAATCCTGCCTCTTTTTTAACATAAATTAATTTATTTGTCCTTAGTTTTGTAGGAATGGCTTCTTTGTATTTAAAATTGTTCATTATGTTAGATCTTATATATAAGTTAGCAACAGGAAAAGGAAAACAACAGTGATATTGGGAACAAATATATTTTTACACATTGTCAAAGTGGTATGCTTTCACAACATAACATTGGCATTGGATAGAAAATCTCAACTGGCTGAACTGACATTGAATTAAAACATCCAAATATGATGATATTGCACATCTTACCATGAATGATATAAGTGACATAAGCACTTTAATATTGTGGGAACTGTACTGGAAAATACATGGAAACATATGAAATTGCACCTATAGCTACTGTGTATTAATTTGCAGTTTGTGATGGATAGGTGAAAGGGAGAATTTTACTACTTTAAGTGTATTGTATCTGAATGAATGTACTTAGTTTGATCTCATTTTTTTCTTATTCAAGAACCATGGATTGTGTTGTGCAGTATTCTTTAATGGGTTTATTTGTATTATAAATGATAATTTAGGCAGGGGGGCACTTAACAGAAGTGCAGAGATTTGTTGGTTATTTTATCATTTAAAAAACCCTATTATGCTATACATAAAGCAATCATTTTGTAATTTATGTGATATTTAGATAATTCTTATAGCTGTATATTTGGCTGACTATTAAAATTTCTTTAATTTATCTTGACATTTTCCTTGTTTTTAACTAATGCTTCTTTTAGTATGAAAAAGCATTTTCCTATCTATTCAAGATATGTCATGCCTCCGTCCGAGCCTGACTCTGAGGACGACATGGAGTTCCCTGTTGAGGCCCAGGA